GGATACAGAAAAGGGCATCTTTATATTATTTAAATCATGCTGCTTTCAATGATTTTGCACGAAGCTGTGAATATAGTCTCTAAGCTGTAAAAGAATGTAATCACAGGCAAATGACAGGAGCACGATCCAGACTATTGCAACTGTAGCTCGAACTATAGTCAGATTCTCCGTGTTTGATTTTCGGAATTGAAAGTTTCGTTGCAGTCCATAAAACTGTGTTTCTCTCCGTAATTTTTTCTCCATTCCTCTGCTATCAAGCCTATCAACCTTTTAAAAAGCATATCCGAAGTTTTATGTATTGTTTTAGTTTTGTTGTTGTTGTTGTTATTTCGCGCCTTTTATGTAGATTTGTTACGCGTGGGTTTAGGAACTAGAAAAGGAAGTTTTAGGAGTTCGACTTTAGCGGAAGCTGAGTTGTCGTGGATTGAGAATGTCCAATATTGTAGAACTCGATGAATTTTTGTTATGGATTTTTGTTTCACGTATGGGGGTATGCGTTAATTATAGATATATTGTAGCCATGCCCCGGCTGGGGGTATGAACTAAATCTATTTTTTATGATAATGATGATTTTTCGATTATCAAATGTGATTTACAAACATACAATGCTGGCAATGTGTCATCACAATGCCCCTGAAATATTTCAAACAATGCTCAGATAAGATATAAAACACTGAGCACAAAATGGTCTAATATCAAAATTTAGACAAATCAGAAAATCTGTTCTTTGTTGATAATAACCAACCAGAATTGAGCTATAGTGGATATTTTGAGATAAATTCGGTCTGGGGATTTGCTCTGGTAAAAGCATCAAAAACAATGACGCCCGTACAACAATTTTTGGCGCGAGCTAAATTGAAGCTATAGTCAGGTTTGAAAATTGCCTTTCAGCCAATAGGACATAAGTATCCAATACTTATGAATACGAAGCGACTATGAACAAACATGGTTACAGCATCTGCCATTATAGGGGGCGTGTCTCACTAATAAAAAGGTGAACAATTTTTTTGCGGTACAGAATTTGAAAATGGCTTTGAAAAAAAACAAACATTATACAACATACTAAAAGCTTTTGCGTCTGACACTCCTCATAGCATAAAACGTCAGAATAAGGGTCCGTAAAGAACACGATCCTAATACCAAAAGATAAAAAGGGTGTGGTCCTAATACCAAAAGATTTGATCTATTGTTACAAAAAACACTGGATCCGCCCTTGAACGACGTCAGGATACATAAAAAACCCAATTACTAGCAATAGAGATATACAAAACAGTCAAAAACTTAAATCCAGAATTTATGAAAGAAATATTGCTGTTAAATGAAGTTGCATATAATTTCAATTTCATTTCTTTTCATAAAAAGATCTAACCACTGTTTCTTATGTGCTAGATACAATATCCTATAGATGCAATAATTGTGAAATTCTTTTGCATTAGGCATTCGATAGACAAATAGTTGTGAAGCATCAAGAACTAAGATGTCTTTGAAAAATGTAAACATTTCAAAAGTTACGATTATTTTCAGGGGTTGATCCAAGAAATACCCGGAGGAGAAAGAGGGGATGTATCTTCATTAGGAAGGAGAAAGGGGGGCTGGAGGTGCTCTAGCAGGAAAAGTTTGATCCTGCCCTTAAATGGCCCTGGAATCATTTCATATCTCAATTTTTTTCATATTTTTAAACCATGACCCATGCTCATGCTAAGGCCATTGTTGCTCATTCAAATTCTCTAGAAACTCCAGCCTGAGATTCATGTCAGTTTTCCAAGCTAGGGCTAGTCAAGAGACGACTTCCTCATTGGAACGAGATGAATAGAAAGGTGTGAATCGAAGAAAATAGGACTTCGCAGGAATATACATAATCTGGCTAATGGTGAAGCACAGGGGTGTAGTACTAGGGGGCCAGGGGGCTGCGCTCCCCTTTTATTAATGCCAAAATATAACCAATTTCTACTTTTGATATTGTTTTTAGCAACATTTTGTGCAAGAGCAAAGATCTTCGGGTCTAAGTACATGGAATGCACCGTGGCAGTATAGTCACAATATGTGAATGAACCTATGCTATATTGAAATCACATTTGGCACAAACTGAATAGTGTGCACAGATTGCACACCTTGCAAGCACATTTGCACACATGCCCACATTTTTCTTTGCTTTTACACACACAAGATCTTGCCAATAACTGACAAGCTCTGCAGATTGGATCCTCCCTTTTGAACTTGACCTGACGGCGCAGTGATAATAAAGAGAAACTTTTCGTTCTTTCAAGGGCTTATTTAAGCTTAATAATGCAAAATTTTCCATTTCGTTTGAGCCACATATGCTCAAAGCTTCGAAAATTTGTTGTCGGGTACGTGATCTCAGTAATCGTAATTGTTTGTTTACTTGAAATTATTGTTACTAAGGGAAGTTGCTATGAGAAATCTTGTATGCGAAGTTTGTGTTGAATGGTGTATTATCTGGTCGTTGTTATCGTGCTAACATACCTTGTTTGGAAAGAGGTATTTTGCTAGGATTTGGACAAAATTTAAAAATTTAAATAAACCAAGAAGTTGTTGCAAAATGCGTGAGAATTCTGCTTTGATGCGTGTGTGTTGTGTTTTGAGATTGTAGCTACTGGATTTTTTGTCATCGAAATTGCTCCTTGGTTGTCTTCCATGATGGTTATAGGTTGCACGTTGTCTCCTATTTCTCTAAACAGTTGCTTCAACCATACGACCTCTTGAGCAGCTTTACTCAGGCAATGTACTCTGCCTCAGCGGTTGAAAGAGCCACTGTTGATTGTTTTTGACTAAGCCAGCTAATCGCACCTCCGGCCATCATGAAGACATTTCCAGTGGTTGAGTGGCGATTCTGCATAACGTCAGCCCAACTAGCATCACTAAATCCCGTAACTTCTTTGTTTTCTAATTTCTTGCAAACCAGCGAAAGATTGATTGTTCCTTTCAGATAATGGAATACCCGTTTTACTGCAGTAAGATGCGCTTCTGTTGTTGCTGAATTGAATTGAGAAAGAGCTCCCACTGCTTGAGTGATATCAGGCCTTGTTGCGATGGCAGCATAGAGTAGGCTCCCTTTCATAGACTGATATCGAACGTTATCAACAGATTTACTGTTTCCATCATCTGCTACTAGTTTGACATTTGGATCAAGAGGTGTACACACTGGATTAGCGTCTTGAAGTCCATAGCGCTTCAGTAATTTTTCAATGTACTGCTTCTGTGATAGACTGACTCCTTCTTCGCTTTGCTCAACACTGACTCCAAGGCAGAAATGAAGGCTGCCCAAATCTTTCATCTTCAAATTCTTTCTCAAGTTTACTTTCATTTGTTTCATTACAGCTAGAAAGAGTTGAGAGTCTAAGTCATCATCTTCCTCCTTTCCTGCAGTCTTTGCATTATGTGTTTCATTTTTAAATGAATTGCTGGGCCTCACTTGCTTCCTATTGTGACATTCAAAGCTTTTGTGACCCTCCTTGCCACAGTTGCCTTGTAACATTTGCCTTTAAAAGGTCTGCTGATGCCCTTTTCCAAGTGCAATGCTGAGTCTCGATTAATTTTAGTTGTTGCAGTTGCTTTGAAGGCCTATTTTTTTTGCTCTTCATTGATAAGGGCTTGCTGGATGAAGCCCAGTGATAGTTCATCTCCTTTTGCTCCCAAAGCTGTAACGAGTGTTGTATAGCTTGGTGGAAGGCTTATGAGCAATGCTTACTTGCTCTTTTTCAGCTACTGTAGACCCGAGTGCATGGAGTTTATCAGCAATTTCCTTCATACGTTTGAAATGATCCTGGACCGATTGCCCTTCAAGCATTTTTGAAGTAAAATATTGTCTCTTGAGAAACAGCTTGTTCGCTATCGTATCCCTCTCGAAATAGGCTTTGAGAGTATCCCACAAGTCCTTCGGTGTTTCCCATAATGTCAGCAAGTAGATATGATTCGACTGAATTCCCATTACCAACGTCGCCATTGCCTTTTGTTTGGCCTTTTCGTATGTAGCTCTAATTTTTCAATTTCGCATTTATCTCCAATTCCAGCCATGCTCGATTGAAGTTTCCTTTATATATTTATCGACAAGATAAATTGAAATCCAGAACATTTAACTTTATTACGCAGTGGTTTGGCCTTGGTCCATAACGTGTTGTATGTTTCGTAGTGAACAAGTCGCTGGAATCTCAAAACACAACAGTGTGAGCGCAAGAAAGGACCGAAATGCGTGTCTCACGCAAAATGCGTGTGACTTGGTAGGTCTGCATAAAGTATTGGCTCAAAGCTTTATTTTTTCTGACTCTCCTCAGAGTAAGCATAGCGGTCAAATCTTTGATTGGCTGAGAGCTCTGTTCGCTACCATGTTCTAAGCCAATCAGCACACAGGATTCTCACAACAAAATCGCTTCGCAGCTAGAATTAGGCCCATTTTCGCCATTTCAGCGTGTTTTTACCACATTGTCTACAAAAAACATTGCACGCCTCTACAAAGCGAATCTCCACCTTATTTTTTGTCCAGTTCATCATCATGCGTTGCTATTTAACCTATATTGGCGCCACTGTTCGATCGCAAAGAATAATATAAAAAACACCTTGCAAATGATCGATAAATTTCGTGTCGAGATTCAGGTAAATTACGTTTTTACCTCTCCCCACCCAAAGCGCTTTAGACATTTCACATTTAGACAAAATCAATTATATACTTACCTTGAAACTAGGAATGGTTCATAATCCCGTCATAGATGCACTCACTGTTCAGCCTTAGATTCCGCGGTGATCGTCTATGTAATGATCACAACGGTACGAAGGCTTTCATATTCACCCTCGAACTCGATAAATGTATCTTTGTCCTCTGGAATCAAAATTTATTTCATAAAAGTGAAAAATTTCAGCAACAGCCCAGAGTAATTTCAATCATGATTTGCCAAAGACAATTGACCATTATTACTAATTTTATGTGATGAAAATGGCGAATACACTCACGCGGTAAGACTGGGATCTAATAAAATTTGAAAACGGCGGGAAAATTTCGAGGGTGCGTTTTCGTCACTTTTTCCCGCCGTTTTCAAATTTTATTAGATCCCAGTCTTACCGCGTGAGTGTATTCGCCATTTTCATCACATAAAATTAGTAATAATGGTCAATTGTCTTTGGCAAATCATGATTGAAATTACTCTGGGCTGTTGCTGAAATTTTTCACTTTTATGAAATAAATTTTGATTCCAGAGGACAAAGATACATTTATCGAGTTCGAGGGTGAATATGAAAGCCTTCGTACCGTTGTGATCATTACATAGACGATCACCGCGGAATCTAAGGCTGAACAGTGAGTGCATCTATGACGAGATTATGAACCATTCCTAGTTTCAAGGTAAGTATATAATTGATTTTGTCTAAATTTGAAATGTCTAAAGCGCTTTGGGTGGGGAGAGGTAAAAACGTAATTTATCTGAATCTCGACACGAAATTTATCGATCATTTGCAAGGTGTTTTTTTATATTATTCTTTGCGATCGAACAGTGGCGCCAATATAGGTTAAATAGCAACGCATGATGATGAACTGGACAAAAAATAATGTGGAAATTCTGTAGACAATGTGGTAAAAACACGCTGAAATGGCGAAAATGGGCCTAATTCTAGCTCCGAAGCGATTTTGTTGTGAGAATCCTGTGTGCTGATTGGCTTAGAACATGGCAGCGAACAGAGCTCTCAGCCAATCAAAGATTTGACCGCTATGCTCTCAGAGTATAAAACGACAGAATAATGGCAAAATGGAAAGTATATACCCAAATAGGCAAAACTATCCAAAAGTTAGATGCGTTCTTTGTTTTAAACTACTTTAAGTTAACCAAACGGCAAACAACCTCTCCGAGCTTTTTATCAGAAACCAGTGCGCCCAGGCCCTTATACACATAAAACTTTGTGAGTACCGTTTTGAGAAAGTCATGTACGCCACTGCATTAGAGAGGGGAACTCATTTGACCATGCATATCAACCTATGAAAAACTGAGCTTTGAAATTCAAACGATCATTGTTTATGCTTCATCAATGAATGAGTTTTTCTGTACATTTGGAAATAAACTAAGTGACAAAATTTCAGAAAAAAAACAAACCCACTTTTATCCAATGAATATGAACTCGGTAGCGCTATGGGAAATTTCTCTTTCAAAGCTGTTTCAGAGAAAGATGGAACTAAAGTTATGATGAAAATGAAGACATTGCATGGCTCTGGTTGTGATGGTATTGCAAGCTTTTTTCTAAAGATTGCTTTGCCTCTAATCCCTGGTTAATTATGCGATCTTTATGTCTTTATTCTCTGGAAAATTTCCTACAAATTGGAAAAAAGCACCTGTTGCCCCAATTTACAAGAGCGGAGTGAGAGATGATTGTTCAAACTCTAGACCGATCTCTGTGTTGCCTGTATTGTTTCGTACATTCGAAAAAGTAGTATACAATCAACTATATGATTACTTAGATAGTAATAGGCTCATATTCAAGCATTCAAGCGTCTGGTGTTCGGTCTTTACACACCGTATGGCTGGAACAAATGACTGGTATTTGAAAAAAGATAGGGGCAAGTGAGATGACAGCCCAATAGACCTTTACCCTAATTACGTCATCATTGCGAATTTGCGTCAGAAGACGTCAAGCGAAGACGAGGAGGAATGGGAGGATACACCTGTTGCGTCCCTGAGTGTTTCAGTAACAGCAAAAAAGACCCTCGCCTCTCTCCTTTTACAATTTTCCTGATGGTCAGTCAGAGGAAAAGAAGCTTCTGAGGAAGCGGTGGATTCATCTAGTTGGCAGGAAAGACTTCAAGCCGACATCAGGGCATCGAGTCTGCTCAAAGCATTTCCCTGGCGGCAAGAAGACTTACATGTGCAACACACCAACTTTGACTCCAAAAACAGCCAAGGACAAGCCAATCAATCCAAGATCAACAACTAAGGCCAGGAACAGGGTGCCCTTTGAACCCAATGCACGAAACATTTTTTCAGAACAAGTTGAAATGGAAACCAATGACGAGAATGTATCGTTTCTGTTAGAGGACACAGAAATTAATGCTGAGAAAGATTTTCAGGACAGAATTAAGTTCCTAGAAGATGAAAACCAAAGGCTTAGAACTGAGAATGAAAGACTCAGATTAGAAAATGCTGGAATGGCCGAAAGGCTGCTCTAAAATGGAAAAAAGGCAGGGTTTACCTTAGATGATATAAAGGAAGATAACAAAATGTTCAGGTTTTATACTGGCCTACCTGATTACATAACTTTTAAACTGCTGTTAAAATCATTTGGAGATGTAGCTTACAAGTTAGTTCATTATGATTCTGGCACCAATTCAGAGAATTTAACAAACCCAGACCATGTTAAACGGGGACCAAAACTAAGTCTTACACCAGAGCAGGAGTTTTTCCTTGTACTTGTTTGACTGCGTTTGGGGTTGCTTGAAGAAGACCTTGCATACAGGGCATCTATTTCTGTCATTCATTTGTCAAGAATTTGCACAACATGGATTGACTTCCTACATAACTTCTTTCGGATGATGCCAATTTGGCCAACAAGAGAGTGTGTTGATGAAACCATGCCAAACTGTTTCAAGGCCCTTTATCCTAAAACACGTGTTGTTATAGACTGCACAGAATTATTCGTTGAAAAGGCTAGCTCAGTCAGATCACAGAGTGTGACCTTTTCACATTACAAACATTACAATACTGCTAAGGGACTTGTGGGAAACTCACCTGCAGGTGGTATTTCATTTGCATCAGACTTGTATGCAGGTAGAACAAGTGACAAACAGGCAACAGTGGACTGTGGAGTTTTGAGTTTTCTAGAACCAGGAGACTCAATAATGGCTGATAAAGGCTTTGAGTTAGAGAATGTTTTACCAAAGGATGTATCTTTGAATATACCCCCTTTCCTCAGAGGGAAGGAACATTTGACAATTGACGAAGAACAAGAGACAAGGCAGATAGCAGCTGTACGCATTCATGTCGAAAGAGCAATAGCACGAATTAAAACATTCAGAATTTTAAGTTCAGTGTTTCCTATAACAATGGCTAGTGATCTAAGTAAGATATGGGTAATTTGTTGCTATTTGACAAACTTTTTGCCTCCATTGATTACAGACAGATTAGTTTGGATTTGTAGTGCTATTTATGGTAGATTTGATGATTTAATGCACTAAGTTACATACTATATTTTATACATCACTATACTGAAACAGACATTGGTGTTAAATTTTGTTGATTTCTATTTTCTCAAACTCCTGTCAAATTTTATTTTATTGTTCCTCCAATAGTAAACATCATTGACATCATTTTTGATTACTTCAAAAGTAATCATCTTACGTTTAAAATACTTGTAGTATTGCATCTGTGATTTTCCCAAAATATGAGAAGTTCCTTAAAATGTTGATCGATATATTTTTAGAATTTTCAAGTGACATCTTTTGAAGTCACTATGAACTGTTAAATGCAAAAGAAATGAGAAAGTATATTCTCCCTAAGAAAGGCCTAAACCATCCAGATATAAAACTCAAAAGACTAAAAAATCAAATTTTACTCTCATCAATCTTTAAAAATATAATTACAATAAAAATCTGTCACTTCAGGCAACATTGTATTCTGCCATAACGCAGTGTCCCTATAAATTCTTTCAACATGCAAGTCCAGATTTGTAAAAACAACAAAGTCAATCCATGGGAGATTTAGAATGTTCAGTATACCCTGAAATTGGTAAAAGTAATTATGTTTTTTCTTCAGCTGAAGTCCATTTGAACTAGGTTTCAAAAAGAAAGATTTTTCCTCAGAAGCGCTAGCCAAACTCATTTCTCTTTTAGTGAATGGGCACTTTACTTCAATGCATCCCACTGGTACATTGTTTCTTAAAACTACCCCATCTGGACTACAACCAAGCCATGGAATAGCAGTGTTGATAATGAATCCACATTTTTTAATTTGAAAGTTTCCATCCAATGGTTTACTTTCAATATATTTAATGATTGCTACATCTTCATTATCAATACCCCATTTCAATGGTGCTGGTAAATTCCCTTTATCTGTAGCCCTTGCTCTTGTGATGGAATTTATGATAGCCTTAGGCCAAATATTTTTCCTTCTGCTCATTATTTTCCCAAAATGAGATGCTGTCACACGTTTGCATCTTTCATCAAACCAGGCAGGATCCTTGGCTTGCCTTTGTGTTGCAATGCATATGTCTATGGCTTGGATTTGGGAAACACCAACCAATTTTTGAACACTGAGCCTGATCTCTTCCTTCATGACACTTTGATGAAAAGGAGGTGTGTTTTCACTGTTGATGTTTTCAAAAATATTCAATATAATAGCATCTTCAGATGTGCTTTGCTCCGTTTGCCCTCTGACTCTGGATTCCTGCTTTCTGCATGATGTCTCAAAAAACTCAGTTGGCTTAAAGTCATTTGATTGCAAAGTTTTGCACAAAAATGTGGCTCTTCCAGCATCACTCAAATCATTAGCCAGTTGTTTAAATGCGTTAGCACTAACTTTTAGAGCAAACTGAGGGGTTGCACAGTAATCCTGACGGGCTTGGCTGGCAAATGCTCTTTTCTTTTCTTTGTTTGGCTCATATTTACTGAAAATGACATCATCAAACTTCACAGCAGCTGACAATGTCATACTTGTTGCTGATGGCACATGCCACTTTTGAGCAACTTGAGTGCATGTAAGCATATCAGGAATTTTGCTGTACTGTGCATTCGTGAAGTCTAGCAAAGTAAAAAGCAAAGCAGCCGCGTGTTTGCAACAGCCAACCTGACCTGCCTTGCACATGCATTTAGAGTACAGAATTTCACCATTACTCTGATCTAGGTGGACATAAACATTGTATGAAGTATTTTTCATCGAAGCGTGCACCCTGCTCTTCACAAGAAACATCAGTCTTGGTCCCGGGACATTTTCTCTGACAAAGACATTGCGTACAAATCCTTCCTTCCAGAGTTTATATCCCTGCTTCTTGTTTCTAAAAGCTTTCGGAGCAATGCAACGTCTTGGAAAAGAAACAGATTGGTGAATAAGTGCTTTTTCGATATTATTATCTGTCATTCCAGGGAAACAGCGCAATGATTTCGTCCAGCCATCTGTAATGTTTTTGCTTTCGGTTTCATGGTTGCGGATAGCGTTGTCGGGCCTAGGCCTACCGATGGTAATCGATGCGATATCGCCAGGCTCCTTGTCTTCTGAAATCGAATTTATGCCCGGGCAAGAGTTTTTAAAAAAACTAGGGCTTTGATTTCTCACTTGAATTGTGGCTGAATCGCTATATTCTGACATATTTGTACGATGTTCTTTAAGCTGTTCTCCACGAAGTCGATTCACAAACATCAACAGTTTGGTTGCCTGCGTGACCACTAGTCCCAGAATGCAAAGCGCAAATTCGCAATGATGACGTAATTAGGGTAAAGGTCTATTGCTGCCTTGAAGGTCCTGTTGCAAGTTTCACATTATCAGGCCGCCTCAGTAGGTGGTGGTTCTGGTTCCAGCGGCCACCACCTTCCTTCAGGTCCCACGGCTATTGGCCTTTCCTCTCCAGTCTTCATACTCGTTGGTATTCTTCAGATGTCTCTTAAATACGTCTTTGTAGCGCAATCGTGGCGCTCCAACCCTCTATGAACCTTCTCTCAATTCTCCACAGTGTCAGGGACTATAGACCACACGATAGACCGTTAGACTTTATCCGGGATGTTAGACCTTTTATCCGGGATCTTAGATTTCTGTTTTGTTGTCATTATTATGCAAATTAGTTAAAACCGCGTGAGGAAGGAGGAGTAAAAGTTTTGTAGATGGCGAGAAGAGAAAAAGCGTGAAGTTTCGAGAGTTTTACGATGTTTTGATACAGATTTTGTTGGTTTTAAATGCGAGTTATTTTTGTTTTCGTGCTTCTACGATAGTTCGCGAAACAGTGGCACCCCAGATGGGAGAGAAGAGCCCAAGAGACGAGAAACAGTGAGATATGGCGAACAAAGCGGAACTTGAGAGCTTCGAGAAGAAAATCCAGGGGAAAACCCGTCTTCTCGAATTTATCAGTGTAGAAACCAACGAGATTTTATCAAGAAAGGACAAAGTGTCAATCGAGAGACAACTGGGAATATACGAGAAAAAGATTACCGAGATTCATGGCTTGAAATGTGAGGTACAAGAATTAAAACTAGAGGATGAGGTCGAACCAACAGAAGTTCGTTTGTGGAGCAACGAATTATCGTCTTGTCGTAGCCAACACGCTTTTTGATCAGCATCCAAGAAGACTGTACACTTGGACATCGCCTGACAGAACGATCAGAAATCAAATCGACTACATCATGATCGAACAGAAGTGGAAAAGCTGCCTGAAAGATGCAAGAACTCTACCAGGACCCGACTGCAACAGTGATCACCAACTTCTGTCCGCCAGGATCCGAATGCGACTGAAGAAATTAGATCAACCACCACCAACGCTACGTCTAGATTTCTCCACTCTAGGCGAAAAGTAGAAGGTTGACATTAACAACAAATTCGAATCCCTGCTGGAGTGTGAAACTGAAGAAATTCCCCCTAACGACTTCTGGAAGTTAGGCAAGGAATGTCTAGTCGAAGTTGCAAAGCAAACTATCCAAAAGCGAAAAAAGATAAAAAATGATTGGATCTCAGAAGAAACAAGAGCAGAAATCGAGAAACGAAGATGTCTGAAAGGAACAACCGACGAATACAAAAAACAAAATGCAACAGTACAAAGAATGATGAGAAAAGACAAAAATCAGCAAATAGACAGAGTCTGTAAGAAAATTGAAGAAAACTCCATAACTAATTCAACCAGAGATCTGTATCGAGGAATCAAAGATCTGACCAAAAAGTTCAAACCAACCATTGACACAATAAAAGATGAAAACGGTAATGCTTTGTGCAATGGATATGATGTCAAAGAAAGATGGAAGTCAAATTGCGAAGATCTGTATAAAATTAATGACAACTTAGCACACGACAACTTTGCGTTCGACCAAACCGAAGAAGAACCGCCCCCTCTGCGGAGTGAAATCCAGAAAGCCATAAATGATTTGAAAAACAACAAAAGCACAGGTATCGACGAAGTGGCCGCGGAACTTGTTAAGAACGGTGGAGGGAATGTCTTCGAGTTTTTCCATGTTCTCTGCAAAAAGATCTGGAAAGATAGAAAATGGCCAGAGGATTGGATTACATCAGTTTTTGTATCCATCCCAAAGAAAGGAGACGTTTTAGAATGCAGTAACAACAGAACAATATCTTTAATCAGCCATTGCAGCAAGATCCTTTCAAAAGTTATAGCCGGTCGTCTGAAAGGTAAACTAGATGAAGAAATTGCAGATGAACAATGTGGATTTCGTGCAAACAAAGGCACACGAGATCAAATTCTAAACTTGAAGCTGATAATGGAAAAACACAGAGAGCGGTGCCATAACCTGTATATGTGCTTCATAGACTACAGGAAGGCATTTGACACAGTCGACCACGAAACACTGTGGAAAGCACTGTTTGAGATGGGCTTTCCAACGCACATCATCCATCTCATAAAAGATCTTTATGACAACCAGAAAGCAGTTGTAAGAACCACTTATGGCATGACAGATTTCTTCAACATCGGTCAAGGAGTCCGCCAAAGTTGTATACTGTCGCCGCATCTTTTTAATGTCTACTCTGAGAAAATTATGCGAGAAGCTCTGGACGGATTCAAGGGATCCATAAAAGTGGGAGGAAGAACCGTCAGTAACCTTAGGTACGCTGATGACATTGTCCTTATTGCTGGATCCATGCAAGAGCTGGAAGACCTCGTCACAAGAGTCAAAGTAGCAAGCGAGCAGGCAGGACTGATGCTAAACACGCAGAAGACGAAAGTCATGAAGATGGCTGGTGATCCAGACAACATGGAAATGCGAGATCTTGCTGTTAACGGCGAAGTCATTGAAACAGTGGATAATTTTATTTATCTCGGTGCAAACTTTACTAACGATTGCAATGACAGCAAAGAAATCAGAAGAAGGTTGGCCATAGCAAGAAGTGCAGTAGTAAGCCTCAGCAACATTTGGAAAGACCGCTCGATCACACTCCAATCAAAAATCCGAATCCTCCATACGCCAGTATTCCCTGTAGCAACTTATGGATGTGAATGTTGGGTCCTCAAGAAATGAGACAGGAACAGACTGACGTCCTTCGAGATATGGTGTTACAGAAGAATTATGCGTATAAGTTGGAGAGAAAGGAAAACGAACGAATGGGTCCTGGAAAGGATCGGCCAAGCAACCCTCATAAACAGCATCAACAAAAGGAAGTTATCTTTTATTGGCCATGTTGCGAGAAGTAAAGGCTTGGGAAATGACATTCTTTCGGGAATGGTGGACGGAAAGAGGAAACGAGGAAGACCACGAAGGAAACTGGAGAACGACGTGGAAGATTTACTGGGAATGATCATGGCCGAGCTACTTCGGAAGGCGCAAGACAGGGACACTTGGCGGACAACCATTGCGTGTGCCACGGCGGGTCAGCCTTGACCCTTCCGTTACTGATGATGATGATGATGATCGCCGAATTAAAGGGAGTTTTGACAGAAATAAAGCAGAATGATCGGAGTGAGGAAGAAAAGGTCTTGTGGTTGGCCAAACAGAAGCTGTTCGCGCAGGAAGCAGAGTTTGAACAGGCAAAATTCGAGGAAAGAATCAAACAAGAGCGAAAATTGGAGGAGATAAAGCAAGGGCCTAAGTCATCAACAAGCGTAGGGGGTGAGGTATCAAGCAAGGTAGAGCTTCCTAAATTGATTATCTCCAATTTTCAAGGCACTCACATTGATTGGTTCAGATTCTGGAACCAATTTGAGGCAGAAATAGACAGGGTAAACATAGATGCAGTAGCAAAATTCGCATATTTGAAAGAACTTTTGTTGCCAAAGGTGCGAGTGCATATTGAGGGGTTACCCTTCACAACAGAGGGTTATGAAAGAGCTAAGCATATTCTTAAGTCAACTTATGGCAAATCAAGTGAAGTAATTAATGCGCACGTCCAAAATCTAACATCTTTGCCAGTTATTAAGGGGGCTAATTCAAGCAAAGTCCATGATTTTCATGCAAAATTACTTATTAGTGTCCAAGCCCTAGAGTCTATAGGAAAGTTGAGTGAAGTAAACGGGTTTGCACGCGCAACCTTAGATAAATTGGAGGGTATCAAGTCAGACCTTGTGCGCACTGATGATAGCTAGCAAAATTGGGGTTTTCCGCAGTTAGTAGATGCACTACGGAGATGAGAAAAGGAAGTTGAGAAAAGGAGAGACATTTTACGGCAGAAGAGATTATGTTTCAATTGTACTGGCTTGAATCATCGTGCCGCTGAGTGTCAAGTGAAAAGCGGATGTAGAAATTGTCACAGCAGACACCATACATCCGTATGTGACAAAAAGTCAAGTGATAGTAAGACCAGCCAGCCAAACCAGGTGATGTTGGCCACAGGGGCACAAGGAATAATTTACCCAGTGGTGGTAGTGAAGTTAAACGGGATAACATGCAGAGCGATGCTGGACACAGGAGCCGGCAGCTCATACATATCATCATAGACAGGGGAATAGCTGCGAAAAAACTAACAAATTGCCTAATCTCAATTTTTTCTTCGGATTTCTACATTTTAATGGCTAAAGATTGTTTTTCCGAGATGGGCCATCGCGAATTATTTTTAGATTGCATGTGATTCGTGACGTCATAAATAAAAAAATAATTCAATAAGAAAGCCATTATCTCCTGTAATAAAAGTCTTATAACAAAAATTATTGCATATTCGGATAGCTCTAAAAAGGAGCTTTGACTGATGACGTCATCCAACCAAACTAGGCCTTTTACCACCACTGTTTCGCAGAATTCTCATTCTTGGACTGTTAATTGTCCTTTCTTAAGATATTCTATCACTCTCTGATAAAGAGACACGTCCATTGAGCAGGTATACCAAAAATTGCTTTCCATATCTCATTGATTGACGTTTCTTTGATGACTGTGGGGGATTCCACAGCGCGCATAGCAAGTATTTGGTTATGTTATGTTATATTCTCAGATATATTGCTTCATTCACTTTAGGACTCGAAGTAGCTTAATTTGTTTTGTTATGATATTGTATTTACGTACTTGTCTCCTGTTAATGTGTATGTGAACAAGGTAAAGGAAACTGATATTCGTGATGTATTTAAAACCTATGTAAGACCTTTGTATCGTGTAATACTGCTAATTTTAGGCCTTTCTCTCTAGTCCATTCGTTTGATTTTCCTTACCTAATCACTCTTGTTTATCTGTAACTTTCCTTGCTCGTTCCGCATTTTCCATCACGTGTATTAAGATAATCTTTGTATTATTATGAGTAACTTCATACCTACGTCAATTAGCAGCATGTTAAGTAGATCGCCATAGCAACCCAGTATTTAAGGATATCGCGCTACCCCATCCCGCTCGTTACTAAGTAAATTACTTCCTTTCACCGTTTCATTTACGTATGTCTATTGTTTTTAGTTCAGTTTATATAGGAGCCCTGTACCTCATCTTAGGCAGTAAGAATTATGGAAAAGTAGCAGCAAGAGAAAGCAGTTTAGGCATACACCGTTTTAGGGGCAAGATGCTTGTGAAAGATCTTGTCGCCTTCGTTTTGCTCTTAGTCGTTTTGAGATATTTATAGGAGATATATCAATTTTGGAAGCCCTCTGGGATAGTTCTTGAGAAAGATTTTGCCCATGTCACGCGTTAATTATTATGCCGTTGTTAGCATGCAAGTTATGTAGCTGCCGGGACGATTTCATCGAAAGAAAAAAAGGAAAGTTTAACCGATTTACGTCGCATCATTTACTGGCCATCCTCTGACTTTTAAAAGGTCCTGAGAATCAATCGACAATTTAAGCAACATTTTACAATCGGTATAAACAGTAAGCAAATATAGGTTCCCTGATTTGACATGTTGATTAGCTGAGTAATATAAATTGAGTTCATAAAAGTACAGTAGGGCAGTGTTAGCGTAAAATGTGTTGAGGAAAGACGTGTAGAAAAACTGAGAAATGACGAGACAAGGCGTACGTTTGAGTTTTATTTAAAGAGATTTCTTGGTTCGTGGAGAAGTATATATGTTTCGAGCCAGCGTAATTGAGATATATTGCGATCTATAACAATGACGTCATATAGATAAATTTCTCAAAACGGTAATAATAGTATTTCGGTAGGAGGCGTCTTCTCCTACCGAATCTATACTAAAGCCTAGAGCAAAAGATAACATTGATATATTAAACATAACAAAATACTTCTGTAGTAAAGTATCCAGCGGTTAATGGAAGCCAGGTATCATCCCCACTTTCACTATCACTTTTACTGTTAGATGATCGCCGAGAAGTATGAAATCCATTTTACTGCTAAAAGTTTGTATTTCCTTTAAGTTACCGTCACTATTGAAATCAGAGTCATAACTGCTGTCTCGCCTAACACATTTTCCTCGAGGCCTTGAAACTTTGTTTACTAGCCTCACTTGTTTCGAGTGTTGGAGGTTGCTGATCATCTGGAATGATAAGTGAAGAAAAGCTCGAAAAATAATTAGCATGCTATTGAAGTTGGTAGATTATGGTACAAGAAAGTTGAATTCATGAGTTAGAAGGTGTATTTTAGATGTGATTACCTGTAAACCATATTGGCAAAACCGTCTCGCCATTGTTTTCCCAACCGATTTCACTGCAGTCGATGTCTTTAGGAAGCCTGCCATTAAAGCGCAACCAGAAGAAAGTTGGGAAATGCGTCCTTCTAATTGCTTGGTTGATTGAATCTAGGTCGGGTGGCAAAGCTTGAGATGACTTTGTTTTCATTAACTTATAAATTCTTATTCTTGTCTTTACCAAGGTCTCGTTCTCTGTTATAAAAGACGTCCTTCTGGACTCAAAACTTTAGATTCTCCAAGAGAATCAAGCCTTTCGAGCTCCGAATTGTCTTTCATAAGTTTCTTGAGAACTTTCATCTTTGAAATCTTCACCTATATCTATCTTTATCTGGCATATATCTTCAGCTAAGTACATGCATACTTTCCTGATCTCAACAATTTTACTTTGATCAATTTCCATATACCAATCATTTTTGGGTTTGACAATGCTAAACGAATGAACTAGCATTATCAGAGTATCGGTATCTTTAGATACAACTACAACATTGGTATCTTTTAAGACAAGCATGCAGAACCATTCGCGTATCAGCTTGTTCGTGACAGCAACGAAAACTCTCTGAAGCCTCATCATTGGTTATCCTCCATTTTTTATCTTCTCTGTAAATATCATCTGTGTTTTTAAATTACTTCGAACCTCTACTTGACGGAAGAATCTGTTTGCTGCTTTTATCAAATCACTCTTTTTTCCAATGTGGTTAAAAAGCGACAGCCATTCATTCCCTTGCACCATTTCAAAACCTTCGATACGCACACTTTTTCCTGGTTCATCACGATTGCTTCTAGTGCCACTTTTGACACTGTCCCTTTTGTCGTAGAGTAGAATCGGGATTTGCAATGCTTAGCAGAACTGATGTTACTGGAAAAGCAAACGCTTCTTCTAGGCTAACTGATTTACTTAGCAAAGCACCCATTGCTTGACGTTCCTGCTTTAACGCAGTTACGGTTTTTGGCGGTTTTGCTTTTTTCTTCAAATCAGTATCAACCATTGCCTTCTCTACTTGGGTGTAAAAGTCAACTTTGCCTGTTAATAGCCTTTCCTGGATGAAATCTTTTAAAGTGTGTCCCCTTTCTCTAGTACATTCAACAGTCCTTCAATTATTTTGTGGTCTATTTCTTTGCAAGTAGTAATATTTTGCGCTTGCTCAGATGGAAAAGGGTCGGTACCGTATGCTTTCAGTTTAGCTTTGAGGCTTTGAACGTGACTGAAATGCACAGTGGCGGATCCAGCCAAAAATCTGACTACCGCTGAAATGAGATAGAGGGTTGATCACACCCTTTAGACCACACCCATTTCTTGGTCACACCCGGTTTTCTAAAATGATTATTGCTTTCTATAATTTCTTATGTAGACCATTTTCAAGAGACAAGCGGTGCTTTACTGAAATTTCATGTATCCTTACAACAAGCTTGAGAAGAAATAAATAATCTTATTCAATATTCTGAGGAAGGATATTCTAAAAAAATTTACGGCATTTAGATGAGGAACACCATCGAATTAAGAAAAAAGAACAATTTGGCAAAATTTCGAAGTGTCGCCTAAAACTCGCATTTAGTCGGACAATTACTTATGAAAATCAGACCTGTTGAAAATTACTAAGTTTAAAAAGCTAGATAAAATTTGCAATTATTGAGAGCAACTTTTGTTAAACAAAGAATCATACTTTTGGCGAATATTGTGGGCCTGACTTTTAATTTAATATTCTTTTAAAATATATTCCTACGAATAGTTGTGTATTGTACAGAATAATGGGTCACATCGGCTTTGAAGTTACAGTTTGCCCACTTGCAGAATATGTAGGCATCCCCCCATCTTTCTGTAACGTTTGAGCCGCGTTGAGCGGCAGTACTACTTGAACCCCCCATCTGAGCGGTAGTCAACTCGGTTGTTCATTGGTTGTCAACAAAGTTTGTATGCATCCCCCCAGGTTGGCAGTGATTTCTGACGATTTGATTGGTTTAGGCAAGCTGACTACCGCTCAGTGCAGCTCGAATCAGCTCTACACCGACTCAACCCCCCTAGCTAGCAAGCCATGATTTCATCATCCCCCCATGCTAGCCTTCTATTTGCAAACATGTGGCTCGGCAATTGGCACGCAATTTCCATAGCGATATGGATTAAAACATATTTCTGTCTCTGTGGAAATTTCAGGCATGTTCATAGGAAGAAAGGCTTGGTTTGCAGCGCGATCAAATATTTTCAATAATTAATTATGGTTTAATTAAAGTAGTAGGATAAACATGAGAATGATCCTTGTTTCTATAATTTTTTGAATAATCTGACTACCGCTCGAGCGGTAATGGCGGTAGTCTGGATCCGCCACTGATGCAGGCTACTTGTTTCTGGTGTTAGTTTCTTATGGGTGGAAGATGTTAAAATTCGAACTTCTTCTCTGAGATCGTTCTGAACTTTTGCATGAATGTGCGAGGTTTATACCCAGTTGTTCACTGCTTGAGTGTTTGTACGATGGGGTCCAGCCAGTAGCGGCACCACGGGGGGGACTGGGGGGACACACCCCCCAGTTCTCAGCAGAATCGATTTTGTATTTCGTCTAAATTCGATGAGAAAATGTTGGGGGAGGGGTAATATTTTGACACCGTACTTTTTGTGATGTAATCCTATGATTTTCAAACTGCCAATTTTCGAACAAAAGTATCTCATAGGCGATCCCTTCGGATATAATTGGCGTTTCCTGTTGGTAAAAGGGCGTTTTCTGGTGGTTTAAAGGGCGTGGCTTAAATTTGTTTGATTTGTCCCCCCCAGAGCTTAGTGGCTGGCGCTGCCATTGGTTCCAGCACTTTTTTTGTCTCCCCATTATAAACTTCTGTAATTAGATCATCATGGATATTTCTAAAACTTTTTCTTGATAAAATATCACCAAATCCTCTCATTTTTAGTTCTTCGAAAGGTTGGTCTTGTTTTTGCTGTTTATCTCGAAAAAAAAACATGCTGGAATGATAAATACCGAGCATGGTTTGTATGATGGAAAGCAAAAATGTGAGCATGTCCCACTCTCCTTGCAAATGATGTTCCAGGTCACCTTCCCTAACCGCTGACACTACTGATAACAATGGGGAGACATCTTGCAGATATGTGATGGTCATCTTTAACTTTGTCCTTCACAAGAGCTGAAAATGTCCTTAAACAGCTCGTTCAAACTTCTTCAAAGGTTTAGAATAGAATTGAAATTGTCTGTGGTTGGGTCGCAATTCTTGCAGCTCACATATCAGCAAAGCATCCATCAAGGGCTTCCTTGAAAAAGGCCTCCCTCTGCCTGCGTTGGCAGCAAGACTATTTTATAACTTGGTACTAAATGCAATATACAACACAAAATAGCGTAATTTTCAAAAATAAAAAAATCTTATCTATATCATTTTTAGAAATTTATGTATATGACGTCATCATAAAAACGTTAATTAATGAGCTATGTAAAGCAGTTTTTGGTATACCCACTCAATAGACGTGCTTTTCTATCAGAGAGTGATAGAATATCTTAAGAAAGGACAATTAACAGTCCAAGAATGAGATTTCTGCGAAACAGTGGTGGTAAAAGGCCTATTTTGGTTTGATGACGTCATCAGTCAATTTGCTGATATCAGCAAAATAGAATTTGTTATGCATCAAATGAAAGCTCCTTCTTAGAGCTATCCGAGTATGCAATTATTTTTATTATAAGACTTTTATTACAAGAGATATTAGCTTTCTTGTTGAATTATTTTTTTAATATATGACGTCTCGAATCACGTGCAATCTAAAAATAATTCGCGATGGCCCATGTCGGACAAACAATCTTTAGCCATTAAAATGTAGAAATCCGAAGAAAAAATTGAGATTAGGCAATTTGTTAGTTTTTCGCAGCTATTTCCCTGTCTATCAAAGCTGGTTGATATTCTCAAGATTAAACCAGTGACAAGGGAGTATCGTCAAATAGACATGATCATTGCAACGGCAAACAAGAGAATTGACATCTATAGTGTAGAGGTCAAGAACCTGAGAGGAAATTTCAAGTTTGGAGTATCTGTCAGTAAAGTAGAGAGAGAGCTGTTATTATCACTGACAAATCCAAAATACACAAAGATTTTAAGAAGGTATCAGCATCTTAATGGAGTAGAGATGGATGACACGGATGATAAAGCAGAGCTACCTATCCATCTTATTATAGGTGCTTCAGAGTATGCTAAGATAAAGAGAGAAACAAAACCAAGGCTAGGAAAACCAGGAGAGCCAGTAGGAGAGTTAACAAAGTTTGGATGGACAATCATTTCGCCAGGATCAGAGGTAGAAACAGAACATTTGTTCTTTGCCGGTTCATCAAGAGTAGATTACGACAAGCTCTGCAGCCTTCACATTTTAGGATTAGGAGAGAGAGAGGTGGGAAATCAGTCAGTCTTTGGGGAGTTCGGGGAGCAATTAGAGCAGAAACCTGAGGGGTTCTTTGAAACAGGCTTGTTGCGGAAAGGAGATTGTCCACATTTACCAGACAATAAACAGGGAGTCTAGCTCGTCTAGAAAAGCTTATCAACAGATTAGAAAGGGATCCAGATCTCTACATGAAGTATGACCAGATTATTCAAGACCAGAAAGAGAAAGGCATTGTAGAAGTGGTGGACCAGGAGCCAACAGGAAGAGCATTTTCTCTCCCACACAAACCAGTCATAAGAGAAATACCACGAAGCATGACCCCAGCGAAAGAGTCGGTCAAAGGCATAGATTTACATGCATTCGGTGATGCAAGTGGAAATGGGGTATCAGCAGCTGTTTACGCTGTGGCAGAACAAGATTCGGGCATTAACCAAGGGCTGTTAGTATCAAAGTCAAGACTTGCAAAAAGGGACTTTCCATTCCTAGGCTAGAACTAATCTCAGGTCAGATGGCCGCAAATCTCATCGATAATGTGAAACAAGCACTTTAAGGACAGCCAGTAAAATCTTGTACTGGCTGGCTAGACAGCACTGTTGCCCTTCATTCGGTAAGAGGACAAGGGAACTATAAACAGTTTGTGCACAACCGAGTGAAGCAAATTCAGTTGAAGGATTACATGTCATGGCGACATGTACCAACAAACGACAATCCTGCAGATATTGGGAGCAGAGGTTGCCTTGCCAGTCGCATTGATCCAAAGTGGTTCCAAGGACCATCATGGCTTGCAACCAAACAAGACTGACCAACAGATATTGTCACATCTCCAAGTGAAGACACAGAGAGGGAGTCCAAACTAATCAAGGAGATTCTGAGAGTTGCATTTCCTGTCAAAAATGAGCTGGATGAAGTATTAGAGAGATTCGAGTACTGAAAGGCGATGAGGGTCACAGCATGGATCGTCAGATTTATCAGAAATTCACAAGCAAAGAAAGCAAGCAGAATCAAAGGCCCATTATCTACCCCTGAAATCCAAGAGCAGATAACCCAGTGGGTAAAGCGAGTACAGAGTAGAGCAAAAAGCAATGACAGTTTCAAAGAAGATGAACAGAAGCTAAACATCCAGAAGAATGATGAGGGGATATTAGAGTGCAGAGGACGGATTCAGGGACAGTGCCCTATTTACCTACCTTCAGACACACTGTTCACAGAAAAGCTGGTGATGGATTCTCACATAAGCACAGGCCACGGGGGAGTCAGCATGACAATGTCAAGTGTACGAGAGAGGTTTTGGGTACCGAGGTTGAGAAAGCTTGTAAAGAAATTGAGATTCAAGTGTGCAGGATGCAAGAGATTTCATGCAAGAGCATTCAACAGTCCACCACCTGGGATTCTACCAAAGGACAGAACTGGGGGAAGTAGTGTACGGTACTTTATTATTATCATTCGTTATGTTGATTAGTAGTGGACATTTTAGGACAGTTTAGGACAGTAGAGAACTGGGACCGAGTTTCAGTTATTTTTAGTTAGATCTTCGAGAGCACGAGACAAGATGGCGAATATTAGAGTTTAGCGATTTGTGTGCGGCACATTTCCGTACATACGTGGCGACCCTGCCAGGACACATACCGGGAGAATCATGGCAAATCCATCAACAGAAACAGCAACAGGAGATGGGCAAAATTTAGGCCCAGAGATTGATATCGAGAAGGAAATAGCGAAGTTGAATTATTATACAGAGCAGACAGATGAGCTCATAGAAATTGGAGACACAGTAGAATGGAGATAGCAACAAATAGGGTGAAGGTAATCCACAATAAGATAATTGATTTGACAGGGAGAATTGAAGAGATGAAATTAGAACAAGGGGAATCATCTAGGTCAGTTAGGCAGTGGAAAAAGGATTTGAAAGATAAATATACAGGAATGTTAGAGCAAAATGAGAAAATGTTGAGAGCTTTAACACAAATAGAAACTCAAACAAGAGAGGAAGGTCTGAGAAGGGAATTTGAAAGGAAGCAAATTGAGCAGCTAAGGGAAGATAAGAGAATGCTAGAAAGACAAAAGCAATTAGCAGACCATGAAGAGAAAATAAGAAGGGAGAGATACTTACAAGAGAAGTCTTTATGGGAGGAAAGAATGCATGCTGAAATTAAACTTGCAGAGAAAAAGCTAGAAATGGAATGTGGGGCTAAGGCAACCTTTTCAAAACTGCCAGAGCTGAGAGTCACACCATTTAAAGGCACAATAGCTGACTGGATAAGATTTGAAAACATGTTCACAAGTCAAGTTTTAAGTAAGGGGTTTAGTGATGAAGTTAAATTTGGATATTTGTTAGAGATGGTGAATCCCAGAGTAAGGGATAAAATTGCAAATCTGAAACCAGGAAAAGTTGGGCTTGAAACTGCCTGGGAAAGGCTCAAAAAGGAATATGGGCAAAGGAATGCTGTGATAAATACACACATTGATGAAATTGTGAATCTACCTACCATAAAGGGAGTAAATTATGAGAAAATTCAAGAATTTTATGACAAGCTCACAAAGAATTATGATGCCCTGCTGACACTTGATGAAGAAAACATGTTGAGAGGATTTGTGATGACAACATTAAACAAGCTGCCAAATGTCAAGTCTGATTTGGTAAGGCTGGATGATGATTGGGAAAGCTGGGGGATGTCAAAGCTTATTGATAATTTGCAGAAGTGGTTGAAAAGAAACAAAACAGAGGAAATAGGAAAGCCAGTGGAAAAAAGAGAAAAACACTGGTATACAGGTGAAACAAAGGAGAAACACTCAAGAAAATGTATTTATTGTGATCAAGATCATTGGAGTGATAAGTGCAAAACACAGGAAACTATAGAGAGTAGGAGGAGCTTCTTCAGAGAAAATAAGCTATGCTTCAACTGTGGGAAAAAAGGACACAGGGGGGATAAGTGTCTAAGTAGGGGGTGCTACTTTTGTAAGGCTAAACACCACAGCAGCCTATGTGAAAAGCAGAAAGGTGAAAGTTGAAAAGGTTCAATTTTAACAGGATTCACACCTTCTGTGGAGGAAACACTCCCACCAATTTTGCCTGTAAGAATTGATGGAAAGGCTATTTGGGCATTCCTTGACACAGGTTCAGGAAGGAATTTCATTTCTAAGGATGCGTTAATGATGCTCAAATCAAAACCTGAGAGATATGAAACAAAAGATGTAACAACTATCAATGGAACAGCAAGAAAAGCCATGCCAATCTTTCAGATGACCATAGAATCATTAGACAAGAAAGCCAGAGAACATATTGAGGTTGCAGGGGTAGAAATGCATGATTTCACAACAGTCAAAAGGCCAGATTTAAGGAAATTGAAACAGCAGTTTAGACACACCAAAGACAAAGAATTCTACATAACAGCATCAGGGGAACATAAAATTCACATGATTATTGGAGACAAAACATACAGCAAACTGAGAACAGAGACAGTTTTCAAGGGGAATGATGATGAACCAATTGTAGAAAGCACATCATTTGGTTGGATTATTCATGGAGGAGAATTTTCTAGCACAAATTGCATGTTCACCAGAGAGCTTGGAAATGAATATGAGAGATTATACAGCCTTGACATACTTGGGGTTGAAGACAGGGGAGAAGATGACCAATTAGATGTTTACAAAGAGTTCAAAGAGAACATTTCCAGACAAAATGATGGAAGGTATGAAGTTAATGTTCCATGGATACCAGGAAGCAATTTGGCAGAAACAAATGAGATGCAGAGCAGAAAGAGATTGAAAAATGTTGAGCGCAAACTGAGGCATGATGAAAAACTGCAGAAAGAATACACAGAAATTGTTGAGAATCAGTTAAGAGAGGCAGTTGTGGAGAGAGTTCCAAGTGAACCATCTGGAACAAGAATATTTTACATGCCTCACAAACCAGTTGTAAGAGAGAGCGCTGCTACCACAAAGGTGAGAAAGGTATTTGATGCTAGTGCACGCCCAACGCCAACAACAAACAGCATCAATGATTGCATGTACAAGGGACCTGCGTTGCAGCCAAATATTTGGGACATTATGGTCAGAGCAAGAATGACACCATATCTGCTGCTAGGAGACATACAAAAGGCATTTTTACAAATTGGAATTAAATCAGAGGATAGAGATGCATTCAGATTCTTATTCACACTGAGTGGGAAGGAAGAACACCTAAGATTTCTAAGGGTCCCTTTTGGGGGGGAAGCCAGCCCATTTATGTTGGGGGGAACCTTGCAGCACCATTATGAGAAATTTACTAACACAGAGCTAGCCAGTACCCTAGAAATGCTCAGAGAAAATACATATGTAGACAATCTGATGTGTACAGGAATGAGCATTGAAGAGCTTCAAAGATTTAAAGGAGAGGCATCTGAAATACTAGAGGACGCAAAGTTTCAAATTCATAAATGGGAATCCAACATAGAAAGCCTAGAAAGTGAAAATATGGAGAATCCAAGCAAGATTTTGGGGCATGTTTGGAACAAGGAAGAAGATACTTTGATGGTACCCATAAACAAAGGGGAAGAGGATAAGGTCTCAAAGAACACTGTATTGAGTCAATTAGCCAGAATTTATGACCCCTTGGGAATCATTTCACCAACCCTAGTAGAAGGAAAGAGAATCTTCAGGGAGGCCTGTGATGAGAACAAGGGAGGGGATGCTGAAGTTTCTGAACCCCTTATGAAAGATTATTTGAGATGGATGAGACAGCTGAGAGAATTAAAGATACCAAGAACTTTAATAAGAGAAATAAGAGCAGTTGATGCAGTGAATTTACACATATTTGCAGATGCAAGTGAAAAGGCATGCTGTGCTGTGACAATTGCAGTAGTGGAACAAGGATCAAGCAAAGTAAAGGGCTTACTCACTTCAAAGTCAAGAATTTCAAAGAGAAACACTTCGATAGCCAGACTTGAGTTGGTTGGGGGGCAAATGGCAGCAAACATGGCCAAGAACATTTGCAAAGCATTGAAGAATTGGCCAATAACATCAATCAATGTGTGGATGGATAGTATGGTGGCCTTATTTTGGATAAACAATCCAGGGAAACAATGGAAAGCATTTGTAGCGAACAGGGTGAGAAAGATTACAGAGATAGGGAATGAAATTGGAATAGAGTGGAAATACTGCCCATCAAGTGAAAATTTAGCAGACCTAGGCAGTCGGGGTGCGAACATAGAGAAAATGGTAGAAAAGAAGTGGTTTGAAGGGCCAGACTGGCTGCCAAATGAAGAAGAATGGCCAGAACAACCAGTGCTGAAGAGTTCAACAAGAAACTTGGAAGAACAAAGACCAATTAAAGAGGCAATCTTATTCACAAACGAGACAGAGAGTGATGAATGGGATAAGCTTTTAGAGCGTCAAAGCTATTGGAGAACACTTAGAACCACATCATGGTGTTTGAGATTTATCAAAAATTGTCTTGCCAAGAAGAGAAAGGAGAAGGTAACAAGAGGACCTCTGACCACAGAGGAAATTATGAGTGCAAGAGATCATTGGGTAGTAATAGAACAAAGATACATTATAGAGATGAAAGA